AACCAGGAGCCAATGAATGGTGCGTGGTTTGAATCTGAAACAGTTGTGTTCTTGTGAAAGAACGCATTGTTGAACTTGCTGGTTTTTGCCACTCAGTTTTATCAACATGCAGAGTGGTACAAAAAACAGCAGGGAATATAATATCTACCGATGTAGGTGATTTAATTCCGAGCCGGTCGTCCAAATTCTAGTCCACCCTCGCCCAACAGGGCATAACTTTGCGAAACAGACCACCAACGAAAAGCGAATTTTCTATTCTTGCAAGACAAAAACCGTCATCCTAACACGGTCAATGTTGTGATACATCTTCAGATTATACCATAGCGAAATTGCGGTTGTTTTTACTACATAAATAGTTTAACCCTTTGGCGTCCACCAACTAGTACCGAAAACGGGCATTTTTTAACGAAGCCCGCTTTTGGGTCGGGTTTTTGGCCAGTAAGCATGAAAATCGATAAAAATGAAACACTGAGGTCGTATTTATTTTCCTACAGATTGGATGGAGTTAACGTGTTTGTTTTTTGCGCATGCGCATAAGGTTTTTTTTTTTTGCGAATCTATTGCGACCTTTCTTTCTCGCTCTTTTTTTCCTTAGCCTTTCTTTATTATGTTACAGCTTTTATGCCCATTTTATTGTGTTTCTTTCCCAATGAATTGTAGCTGGTTATCTTCCAGGAAAGGGGGACATTTTTATCTAGAATGAGTAGTAGGTAAACAAGGAAATTGACAGATTTTTCCCCAAAATGTCAGGTTTATTGTGTGAAACTCTAGTAGGGTTGGTCAGAATTTTCAAATGAGGAACCTGTGTGTTAGGGTCGTTTTCTCCGAACATCCCGGGTAGGTTATCACGTTGGTAAACCCATAGAAAGTGTGGTCTATTGCTTTCATAACATAACGTGTCTTCTCTCCAAAGTGATCATAAGCTTTATATCATAACTCACGATTTAACAGCGCCGCAGAAATAATCTAATGCCTCAGTTTCATCAAACAAGAAACAGCAGCACTTCAAAAAAAACTACTTTTTGCACCCATTGAGAACTTATGAACACTGTTTTACAGAAAACGTCAACACACATTCATGACTTGTAAAAGCAGAGGTACACTTAAAAAATTCGTTCATGGTGTGATTAATACAGAAGCAGAAGACTGAACATCAAACTGTACGCAGCTGTGTTTTGTTCAGTTGATCTCCCTCACAGTAATTTTGTGTTGACTGACGGACCTCGCAGCTATTGTAAATGAGGACCTCATTCACTTTCCGCAAGCTGCAATTGAATGGTTCAAGGTCTGTTGCCTAGACTCTTCCATGATCAACAACTCATACAGTACGACGAGGCTGCATTTGAGATGTTGTACCATGTGCGTACCGCGTTGCCTAGTCCCTGCACGGCGTTCTCCCAGGCCTTCTCAGTCTGACTCGTCCCCAGTCGTCTTCGCGTAACGCACCTTCTTGGTCAATTCACTCCGGGGACGTATCCGAGACGAACAGGCGGGAAACGCCCTGACAAAAACAGAATGTGCATGCGTGCATTGCGGAATTCCTGGAGCTCTTCAAGATGTTGAAAACAGCAGGAAATTAGGGTTTTAAAACCCTTGTGGATATTTGCGAAATAGAAGATTGACTTTTCCGGAACGGCTTCGAAAAGTCATCAGAATGTCATCCATAGTCCTGTGAAAATTGAGTTCTGCTCCTTCAATTTTACCATTCTAACTGAACATGTATCGAAGTTCAAATTATTCACTTCCAAAACGTTACCTTATAGTGACCCTCTGCGTAGTAAACTTAGTGTGCAAATCTTGAATAATCAGAAAAACATACTTTCAAATAAAATTCATAAAGTGCCCAAAAACTGAACCTACAGGTAAAAATTCTACAAAATTTGCCGACATCTCGGTAGAAGTAATGCGTGCAATGTGAAAAGTATTTAAAATTCAACTTGGATGCTGTAGTCTCGAGCTCAGGATCGTGTTTTGAGCTTATGTTGTCAATGAAAGAACACCGTACAACAACAGACAGAGAAATTACTTCTCGAAGAATTTTATTTAAAAACCCATCAATTGATCTTTAAAAGCAATTCGCCTAACACTAACTGGCTCGTGGATCCGTTCACGCAAGTAAAATGATGGCAAAATTCAACACAAATCTCAAGTCTGGGCGCTCAAGCCGATCTTAAAATGTATAAAACGTCCATGAAATATTGACAAATACATAAATTTGCTTTTGAAAACGTAATTTTCTTGACTATAGAGAAGAAAATTTACCTGTGATTCTCCAAAACTTCGCTGCTTGGTTGCGTTTCAAAACAGGCCAAGCTCTCCGCCATGGAGAAAATTTCGAA